AATTTTTTTGCTTTAGGCAGTATATTCCATTGAAAAGAGTGATTTTCAGTCATTTTGATTGTATTTATCCACAGAGCTCAAACCCCGAGGTGTGGCGGTGAATTTGGTCGCAGGTCTGCCTGCTTACATTCTCTTCATGTGTCTGCGACACGCCGACTACGCCAACGATGACCAGCGGGTCTCCACCCTGCTGAACTCCTCCGTCAACACCATCAAGAACGTACTGAAGGTGAAAGACTCTGTCAGAATATGTTGGAATACAAATCCATTGAGATAAGAGTGAACCATTTTTGCATGAAAAATGTCCAGATTATTTCGATTTAAACATCTGACAAAACATGCTGTGGTAATTACGTAATAACTTGCTATCTGTACAGAAACGAGGAGATTTTGAAACCATTTCCTTCTGGTTGGCAAACACTTGTCGCTTCTTACATTGCCTGAGGCAGTACAGTGGAGAGAAGGTAGGTTGTTTGCTGCGTTTCGAACCCTAGTGTTCTGTCTACATAGACAGCATTGTAGACGTCATTATTACACTCTAAAAAGTCAGCAGCAAAATGGCAGCAGCATTTATTAAATATCTCGTCCTGACCAAATAAGTCAGTGAAACGTATCCGTCACAAGAAATGCAATCCCAGAATGCATTGTGGCAAATCATTAAATTGTAGTGGGAAATTCTTACTATTATTTTATACACACACACACACACACACGAGATTTTGAAACCATTTCCTTCTGGTTGGCAAACACTTGTCGCTTCTTACATTGCCTGAGGCAGTACAGTGGAGAGAAGGTAGGTTGTTTGCTGCGTTTTGAACCCTAGTGTTCTGTCTACATAGACAGCATTGTAGACGTCATTATTACACTCTAAAAAGTCAGCAGCAAAATGGCAGCAGCATTTATTAAATATCTCGTCCTGACCAAATAAGTCAGTGAAACGTATCCGTCACAAGAAATGCAATCTCAGAATGCATTGTGGCAAATCATTAAATTGTAGTGGGAAATTCTTACTATTATTTTATACACACACACACTCATTCATGTATACAGACAATTTTTTGGGGTGCTTTCTTATTTTGAATACACTATGTAAATTTTATCAATATAAATTCTATTTTTTTCTTCTGTATTCATGTTTCTTATTATCTTAAAACCTTTTAAGATCTACAATTTTATGCTCAAACGATGGCAATTAGTTTCATAGACAAATTATGCCTACGTAAGGTAAGATATTTCTGTGGAAAATATTAGTAATTTTATATTATCTAATATTTATATAATATAATATAGTTCTTTTTATGTTTTAATGTTCTTTTGTGCTAGAGGTAGTAATTAGCTTAGCAAGATGCTAACACCAGACTATTAGAAATTAACTGTATGCATTAGCCATCACTTTTTGTGTGGCACAGTGTTGCTTCTTGTAAATTTCAGTTCAATTATTCAAGGTTCCTTGTATGCTGAATTAGAAGAATCTGATCAAAAAAAATAGCTTTCTGAAGAAGCTAGCTGCAAATGTTGAGAGTAGAGAGAAACGTTTGAAACAGCACTTCTGCATGTCTGTACACATGAATGTTAATGTTTTTATTATTACTACTATTATTTTGAATTTTTTACTCCTATATGAATGCTGGCCTAATATTTTATTTCTTCCTGACCTTTTTTAGGCATACGCAAAGCACAACACGCCTCGGCAGAACGAACACTGTCTGACAAACTTTGACCTGTCTGAGTACCGGCAGGTTCTGAGTGATCTGGCCATTCAGATCTACCAGCAGCTCATCAGGGTCATAGAAAACATTTTACACCCCAAGATTGGTAACTCCATACTCTGATCATAAAGATTTCAATGTTTATTTTATGCTCTCTGCTTGATCATTCCCTCTTTTCCTCATGGCAGCTCCAGCCATGTTGGAGCAGGAGACCATTCAGGGTGTGATGGGTGTGAAGCCCACAGGAATGAGGAAGCGCACGCCCAGTTTCCATGAGGAGGGCTCTCACTCGCTGGAGTCCATTCTGAAGCAGCTGGATGTGTTCTATTACACACTGCTTCAGCACGGCAACGACACCGAGCTGGTCCGACAGGTCATCAAACAGCAGTTCTACGTCATCTGCTCTGTTACACTCAACAACTTACTGCTCCGTAAGGACATGTGCTCCTGGAGTAAAGGCCTGCAGATCAGGTACTGACCACTAGAGGCCACTAGACCTACGGATAGTCTGGGGCTGCGTTCCAGTTCATTTTTTTTTATGCCCTTCACTGGCCAACTTCCCTCCGTCTCGTTTACTTGGATGTACGTCATTGATTACGTTGCATGAGTGCCCACTACTGGCAGAACCGTTGGAATGGGCTGAATTGGAACGTCCTAGGACCTTTGATCACTTAGAATCTGCTATGGAGTTGGTTTATTGTTTACATTTTCCCCCTTTGTTTGGTACAGCATTCTATTTGTATATAGGTATGCTTGGGCTGTTATAAATGTAAAAAAAAAAAAAAATCATTTAGATATTATAGTTGTTTGGGGTGGGGATAAATTAAACGCGATCTGCGATGACGTCACAATCGTGGTGCATTGTGGTCTATGGAGTGGCCTGAAGTGTGCATATGAAGCAGACTCGTATAGGCTTAGATCTCTGCCACAATTCTGCGCGCGAAAGATCATATTTTGAGCACGCAAAAGTGTTTTGCACGTGCGCAAACTGAGTTTTGTGGAGAAAATATTTGTCTCGCAAAGAAGAAAGTATTTCGAGCGCACGAAAATCAATTTTGCATTTAAAATAAGTTTTTGGATGTGTGCAGACCTTCTCTTTTGCGCGTGCAACGTTTCACTAGCTTGCTCACCTGATGCCCGCTCTCAGTGTTCGCTAAATGCCAACAGCTCAACACAACCCAGCTCAACACAACCCAGCGTTACATTGTGCCATAATTCCAGCCAATCAGAGACCGAGGCTGCTAAATTCTGATTGGCTGCCTTGACAACCAATCACAACATTCCTTGCATTACCTCGACAGCAGAAGAGGAAAAAATATGATGTTTCGCGTGCAGAATTATGGCAGAGATGTAATCCCATAGACTCGCTCCCTCGGGTCAAAATCGAGGGGTCGAGGGTCTGTCCATATAAACTTCCCTCGTTTACTTCATGAAGTGAAACGCACTTCAAAATGGCAGTGGGGATTCCCCCGAGGGGAAGTGCTTAGGGAAGTTTGCGAGTGTGTGTTTAAAAGTGGAGTGGAATGAAGCCTGGGTTGGAAAAAAAAAAGTTCATTCATAATTTTATGTGTATAATAAAACTTTACAGGTAATTAACTTTACTTTTATGTAATTAAGTTTTAAACATTTTACTTCTCTAAAATTTTTTTTTTTCTGTTAATTTTTTGTTATATAGAACATTGAAAATATATATATATGCATGTATTTATATTTTATTTACAATTAGTTTTTTCTTTATATAAGGTATAATGTATGTCAGCTGGAGGAGTGGTTGCTGGATAAAGATCTTCAGGGCAGTGGAGCGCGTGAGTCTCTGGAGCCTTTGATTCAGGCAGCTCAGCTTCTGCAGATCAAAAAGAAGAGCCAGGACGACGCAGGGGCCATCTGTACTATGTGCACGGCTCTCACCACTGAACAGGTGTGTGTGTGTGTGTG